AATGTGTTAATCTTTTCTACTAAGCTCCCCAAAATTGGCTTCCTCCATCCAACTCTTTTTTTTCCTGTGTTGCTGCCTGTTTCAAACAGATTAAACAGACTGTTTCTCTGTGAGAGTCAAGGAATTTGAAGATCCTCTGGAGGAAGGGCAGAAAAATAGCATCACCTCCCTGAGACATCTGAGGAGCCCTGCCTGGGTGATGCCGGCAGTGCGAGGGCATGCTGTGGAGAAGTTTGACAGGACCTGGGGAGGGGAAGCATCCAGCTGTGCTTGGGTCTCTGTCTCCCGCTGCACACCTGTAGGAGGAGAGAGGAAATTATCTCAGGAATCAAATGCAAGATGAAGCCTTCATGGAAATGGAAAGTTCACGAGCAGGTGGAAGGATGTGTCAGCAGCAGGGCAAGCCAGCGGGCTGTCCAGTCTGCTTTCTTGGGCAGATTGCGGAGGAGAAGCAGCAGCAGCTCCATTCTTCCACTCTGGTACATGTCAGTGTAAACAAGTGAGGCTGTGGGCTCCGTCCCTTGGAGGAGGGAAGTGTCATGCAGTGCTGTGAAAAATTGCTCTGGGTTGTTCTAGGACTGGTATTGCCTTGTCCCACTGGAAGCTCTGGACAAGGTAACCGTGTCCCTGGCTTGTTCACAGGAGGGCTTTTGGGGTATTGGTGTAAGCATGGACAGCCAAGGATAAGCATCACGGTACGCTCCAGTTTGAAGTGTATTGATTGTGAGTCAACACAGCTCTTCTCCAGGAGTGCCAGAGCTGGGGCTGAAGAGTAGCTTTGGTCTCTTGAGCTGCTTCCAGAGTAACGATCGATACTTATAAAGTCCGAGGAGATCATCACTCATACAGTCTTGACGGGAGGCATAGCCAGATGCTTGAAGCTGTTTAAAATGTGATTGAAAGAGAGTCATGGAGAGGGCCACTGCCTAAAAGGAGCAGCAGCGCAAAACATAGGGAGTGATGTCAGACTGCTGGTGCTCCTGGAAAGCTGCCTGCCTGCCCTGTGTGCTCCTTCCTAGCAGAGAGCAGAGCACCAGCAGCATCGGGTTGCCTGGGACCACATCCCCATCACTCTCTATGGCAGAGCTATTTTCTCTCTCTTTCAAAGTTATCTGGGGAAATCTGGGCTTTTGTCTGTTTGGGATATCTAAATGAGCTACCACAAAGTAGTTTCATATTCACTAGCATTAATTAGACTGAGAGAGAGAATGAACATGATCTATGTTTAAACAAAAATCCGATTTTGGAAGTGCCTGCTGTGTCATTAAGAAACATATTAAGGACAGTCAGTATTTGTGCAACCATCCTGGAAGCAGAAGACAGAGAGTCTCTGAACAAGATGCTTTAAATATAATAGGTATTTTTGCTTAAAATATGTTTCTGACCTAAATATAATTTAATTTCCATCCCTTTGAACAGTTTGATGCTAATGAACCAGCCAGGGATGGCAGAGAGGAGGCTGAGCCAACCGCATCGGAAGCGACTCGGCTCCACTGCAGTGCGTTAGAGACCCTGTGTGCGCTTCACCCTGGCTGCACGCAGCGACGAATGCGCCAATCCTGCTGAGAGCTGGCCACAGCAGCAGGAGGAAGCTTTGTGCTGCTCAGCCAGAGAAACAGGCAGGGATCCAGCCTGCAAATTAAGGCTGATCAAATATTCTTCCATGAGCATTAATGTCTGCGTACAAAAAAAGGTAAGTCTGGCAAGGAGGAAAAATCACACCTCATACAGATGCGATTAAAGTCCTGACATATTGCTTCTGCTTATTTTTCACCTGGAATCTCTTTCGCCAGCCTCTGCCCTCAGATTACTTGCTGGAAGAAGGAGGGTGAGCAGTGGTAATTTTGCAGTGAGCTAAAAGTGTGTGTAGAGCTGAGAAGCCTGGCTCGGTTCCACCTGGTAAAGGGATCCTCCTAGACTTGAACACTTTTTCCCTGCACTTCTGACAATGGCAGTCTGCCTGTTCCAATGCCATATTTGCCAGGCACTGTTAACAAGGTCCACGCTTTTCCTCTGTCCTCTCGACATACATCGGGGGGACAAGTATGCCAAACAGCATTTAATGGTTGTGCCAGCTGACCTGGGTACACTTAGGGTTGCCATGTCTGAACCAGCCCTGTCCTATATGGGGCAATGATAGGTTGTGTCATTGTGGCTCCATTATCCATACCTGCCCTTGGCAAAGGTACTGGCTCTTCTTCTCCCAGTCAGTGCTGATGAGCTCTCATAAACTCAGCCCCTCTGCGATCACACACAGGTGTCAATTTCAAACAAAGTTTTAGTCCTTTCTCCAAGCACCAGCACCAAGCAAGGCTTGTTCCACATCCACTCTTGGAGTGTGTGGCACTGTCATGCTGAGGTCCATCATGCAGGTCTCAGCCACTAATGCCTCAGGCTGTAGCACGTCCCAGCAGACAGGTTTAGTGAGTGGTAGGTCTATGCCTTCTCCAGAAGCAAGGCTTTGGCTGGACTTGGGGGGGGAATGATTTCTAAGCTCCATAATTTCCTACAGTGGGGAGGGAACTGGCATTAGCCCCAAGCTGGTCACTCCCTTAAAATGCAATCTTTGCTGTTTGAACTAGATGTGATTTGGTAGGACTGGATTTGATTTTTTTTTTTAACCATCATTCTTTTTGTCCCTTGAGAATATTTCAAGTGGCTGAATTTCTCATGTTTCCCTGCTGCTTCTAATAAAAAAAAAGCCACCACTTCTTTTTTAAATGCCAATGAGGCTGTAAAATCTTTTTTGGGGGGGAGACATATCTGCATTCCCTGTGCTGTCACAATTATTCTTCCTTTGCCATACAATGCTGTCTTTCAAAAAGACGTGCTTTCAACATCTCTCAGCACTTCTGATGGTATCAGGAGATGAAAACTATCCCCATTACAATAGGGAAGAGTACAGGAAAATGGGGTTAGAGGAAAATACGGCTTTTAGAAAATGATGCATCTTGAGAGAAATTTCACTTTCGCATACTTTCCCAGACCACATGGGTGCCATACCCAAGCAAAGAAAAATACAATATGCTGAAGAGGGACTCAGCTCATGGTGCGTTTGTCCTGGTGTATTCCCTTGCCTCAGAGCCCATTAGGAAGAGTTAATATTCTCCAAGTATTCCA